TGCTTGAGTGTGGGCTTTTTTGGTGGTTAGTTTTTTTGAGAAAGCCAGTGGTAAAAAATTATTTTAAATCTAGTTTTCCACTCTCTTTAACCTTTACTTCAACAGTGGAGACTTCCATGCAGTCTCTGAAGTGCTGCCTGATGGACTTTTGACACCCTGTACTGTGAATTTCAAAGGCCTTTATCCAAGAGATTGTAGTAAACAATCATATGTTAGTGAAAAGCATATATGCGCGTTCTGGGAAATACTACATTTCAAAGATGCCCTACATAACTCTGTGGGTTTTTTAAACTGGAAAATGTTTCTAACTTAAGAGCTTCAGTTAGTCTTTTCAGATAATAATTCTCTGATCTTTGAAATTCCTACCCATGTAGGGCTGCCCATAAACTTTGGGAGGAATCTTGCCAAGTCTGTTTCATTGTTCTACTTTGTTCAAGCTAGACACAAACTTCATTTTTTTAAAAAAAGTATCATTTAGGGTTAGTTCTCCTAGTGGGAAGGAGAACACACAGAAAGCTTTCATTAACACTTTTAATGAGAAGTATTGCTTTTTTGTATAGCCTCATAACCTAAGTGTCTTCAGTGTAATTTCAAATATCTCTGTTATACAGATGAATGTATAATGTAAATTCATGTAAATGAATGAATCTGGATGTTATCTTCCAGTATTCAATGTATTTCCCCCCACCCCCCCCCCAGTAGATCTGGGACTGTTAAACTTTCTGTTTTCAGTCTGATTAGTTTGGCTTTTATTTCTCTAATCACTCTAAGTGTTGCAGGTAGTGATTTTCTTTTTTTTTTTTTTTTTAATACCAGGAAGGTCTTTCCTCAGGGGACAGCTGCTTCTACAGTTACTCTGTTGGGATCACAGCTTCCCAAATTTAGGGGTACTTAGTAATACCTAGTGTAAATGCAAATGATGTTCTGTATTGCAGTGATTAGCACGGAGTTAGAAAAGTCCTTTGACAGATTCTTCGCTCATCTTGGAAATGGCTTTATCACGCAAAGAGTTAACTAATGTTTTTTTCTTTTTCTAGCTGGAAATCTTGTGTTCAGTCAATATTCTACAGTTCATATTTATTGCACTCAGACTAGATGAGATCATCAGATGGCCATGGCTTGTATGTAACAAGTTCTGTTCTTATCCTTGGTTAAATGCTGAATTTCATAAAGATATTTATTATAGGGAACAGTTAATGTATGATCAGAGTCCACAATCACTTTTTTGCTTGCTTAACAAGCCTTCACGGAAGGTCTGGCATTTCATTCAGTGGTCATGGGAAACAAAGTCTCTTCTTTGGTCATTTCATCCTTTGGGGGAGAGTTGAACTACATTGAGTTAAGTTTAAATTCTTTCAGCTTGATGGGGCGTACAAAGCTGAGGAACGCCAAAGAGCTGATACTGCTCATAATGGTGCATATGATTTGTGAAACTTTTCTGCCAGAGATTATATTAGATTGCTGCCAGAGATTATATTAGATTTCTTTTCCTTGTTTAGACTTAATATGTAGACTTGCTTTATTTAAAAACCCCACACCTGAAAGAAATCAAACTGATAAGAATGTATCACTGTCAAGGGGGAGGAAAGCAGTTAATTTCTCTTTCTTTCAGGTTGTTTGTGTTCCACTGTGGATCTTGATGTCCTTTCTGTGTCTAGTAGTGCTCTATTACATTGTATGGTCTGTTCTCTTCTTGCGCTCTATGGATGTGATTGCTGAGCAGAGGAGGACACACATAACAATGGCTGTCAGCTGGATGACAATTGTAGTTCCACTGCTCACATTTGAGGTAGGAAAAGGCGTGACGAGTGTTAGGCATCTTGTTCTTTTTTCAGTGAGTGATGAAGTTGCTCTGTCTCTTTGAACTTACTAAAATGAGAACACTGCTTTTTGTTTTGGAATAAGACATTAGCAGCAGATATGAAAGAAAAACAAGAATCCTGTGTTTCTTTAAAGTTTTTTGAGTAAAATATGCATCACATTGGAACTGTAACTACGTGTTTCTGTGGAGACCATTTTTCTTCACAGTTATGTGAAGCTGAAGGTCTGAGATCAGCCTCTGTTTTCAGCAGCTTGAAAGTGGGTATTGCAATTAAACTGACACTGTATAATTTTTTTGCCATTTAGATCTTACTAGTACACAGACTGGATGGGCATAATTCTTTTTCTTTTATACCCATATTTGTTCCTCTCTGGCTTTCACTGATAACTTTAATGGCAACAACATTCGGACAAAAAGGAGGAAATCACTGTAAGTATTTAAAAATCATGGAAATAGATTGAAACTCAAGGCTTAAATGTAATTTATTAAGACTGTATTTTCAAAAAGGGCTTTTTTGTATATATTCTCTCATGGAAGAATTCAGATGTGTCTGTTACTATTGTTTTCAAGTCATTTTAGTAAGTTTTCAGTGTTTGTAGTGCCTCTTGCTTTTTTTTCTTACTCCTGTAAGAGCATGACTTCTGCTTGGGCTCAGCTTGAAATCTCAATGGGATTTTAATTGTAACTTAGCCTTTTACCCTTTCTTATTTCCATGGGTTTCATTCTCACGGGACATGACTGGATCTTTCCACTCTGGGTTCTGAAAATTAATTAGCATTTGTCCTAGTAGGCTGAACTAGTAGTCTCTTTCCTCTTTGGCCAAATAGTGTTCTCTGCTGTTTTGTTGTAACCTCAGTTGCCTGAGTGGCCACTGTAGATTTACCAGGATTTTGTCCCCATTATCACTAGTACTGCCCAAAGGAGCATTTGCACTTTCAGCCATCTCATGTTACTGAACCAGTTCAGATGAGTAGCTCTTCCCATCCGTGTTGCAGCTCATGTTCCTTGTTGACAAGGCAGTAAAATTCATTAGGATTTTTCAGAGTTGAATGAACCAGCTGTGATGTTTGTTATATAAACTCATTTCAGTTTTGGTCAGATTGTGAAGTACACTAAGAATTTCTTTCTTGGGTCATGACGAAGCTTATCTCTATATATTTAGTTTACTTTTATATTGTTATTGCATGGAAAATTTACTGGTGGTATTTATTTTTTTAAATGCATGCCCTTGATAATTTATGGCCAGGTTAGTCTTTGGGAAAGCCAAGTGTGTCCATTTTATCTTTTGTAGGGTTAATCAATACTTATGTAAATTTTTTTAAAAAGACAGTTCACCAAAGTGAACCTCAGAGCAAAATACAAGACAAACACACAGTGTGTACTGTTTTCTAATCTAGCACAGGTAGCACCAAGGATGAGGTACTCCTGGCATCGCATGATATTTGGCTAACAACAAAAGTATTTTGGGAATACTGAATACATACATTTACTAATCTGTGTGTGCTTATGCCATCACATTCTCTCTGGTATTGTAACTTATATGGATCAAACAGAAGTTGGCGTGAATGACTTCCCACGTGGCACTGATTGCTTTGATTTGAGATGCAAAGTCTTTTGTGTTATTTCTCTGTGTACTGATGTGACTTGGCAGTGCTTGACAAGTGAAGTGAAATGGATTCTTGCTGTGGTAGTATAACTGTAATTTATACATATGGATATACACATACAGACACGCACGTGCAGACATGTAGAGCCACGTAATGCATGTATATGTTCTGTATGTGTATCTGTATATGATCTGAACTGTAATGTTGTTGTATGATGGGTATAAATAACATACGGAGAAGCAGCACTAACAAATTTTATATTGTTCATATGGAGACAATTAAGAGAACTTAAGATTGCATAGTCTGCCTACTTAATTAATTCTGTTCTGCAGTAATGTGAAGTGATTTCTTTTTTTTTTTTTTTTTAGGGTGGTTTGGAATTCGCAAAGACTTTTGCCAGTTTCTGCTTGAAATTTTCCCATTCTTACGAGAATATGGCAATATTTCTTATGATCTTCATCATGAAGATAATGAGGAAACAGAAGAAACACCACTGCCTGAACCACCAAAAATTGCACCAATGTTTCGAAAAAAGACTGGAGTGGTCATTACACAGAGTCCTGGAAAATACGTGATTCCACCTCCCAAATTAAACATTGATATGCCAGATTAAGATGACGGTAGCATATTAAACTTGAACTGGGAATCAACAGACAAATGTATTTCATCTCATGCCTTGTCCCAATTACTTTAAAATAGGTATGGCTGAATCAGTGGCTTGGATTACACAAATTGGAGATCTTGAAGATAATCTGAGAGCTTTTCCCATAGATATGTGGTGGTCTTTCCTAACAGGTTGGCTACACATTTGCCTGTATAGTATTTATATGAACATTTTAGCAGTGTAATATATTGTTTAAAAGTCTTGTCCTGTACAGTATAAGTATTATCTAAAAGTATTTTTTTAAAAATCCTGTATGAAATGCCTGTGCTATTCCAGGTGTCTTTTAGGTCCTAAATATACACTTGATTTCCATGTCTGTTTTAAATCCTTTTTTGGGGATGCCTTAGTATACTATCTCTTACTACTTTTTCCTGTTCAGCCACAATCATTGTCTTAACCACAGAGGCACAGGAGTGTTGCATTTCTCAGGCAAGACTGGAAAGCTTTTGGTGGGGGGAAATAGAATGTACAGCGACTTACATGATGTTTTTGAGTTAGCTATGTAAATTTTCATGTAAGTATTTGAACATTTGCACTGGCTTGGAAATTAAGTGTTGCTTTTGTAGCTTTTCCAGTTTCATGTTTTAATTCTTGAGCAGCATGTACACCATTCTCCCATTAGACTGGCTATTTAATAAGCTGTTCCCTCTTGCATTGCGTGTGCAGTCTATGCCAGAAACACTAGTTGTAGGTTTTACAGCTGTTGGTTAGCTGGTATAAACATCATAGCTTGGTCTTCATTACCAACTTTGTAAGACTGTTGGTGTAAATGATTAAACTTTACAAGATAGGAACTCATTGGTGTTGGTATAGCATTTTCTTGTTTGAAGAAAAACCTCCTTTGGCAGATTCTGGGACTTTCATGTGCTTTGGAGAAATTTAGCTGAAAGCTATACTCCAGTAGTTTGTAACAGCATGTCAGATATTCCCACATCCTTGCAGCTGTTCTTTGTGCTTAGGTGAACCCACACTAAGTAGCTTAAATTCCATGGATCATGTTTCCTTAGTGTCAGCATACATTAAGAGCAAAGAGTCTATGGACACTTTTGCGTGTGTGAAACATGCACATCTGAAAAACTTAAGAGATGTGGTGCTTTCCTTCCTAACACTGCAGACCCCTCTATTCTTTCCTGTGGACCAGCTACTGGCTGGAACTCAGCACAGCAGCCCTATAATTACACTTAAAATTTCATTGCAGTTTTATTACTTGGCTTTTGAGTCTAAAAAAAAAATCTGTAAATGAAAAGCAGCAAGTACTATTGCCCCTGCTGTTTGATGTTGCTGGGAAACAGACACTGCTCTCTGATGTCACAGCAGCACAGCACGGGTGTCCTAGCAATGTCTGAGAATTCTCCCTTGGGACACTCAGTCAGTTGGTCACTGTCTTTCAGCTGGCTGTCTGGCAGGGTAGTCTAGCTGCTGGGGTTCAGCTGAAAAATATACTCGAACTGAGAAAAAAGAATTTAAAATGGAGCTTTCCTCATTGGAAACTTCATGTGATTCTGTTCCGGACAAGGAATTTGATTCGTCAGGCTTAACTGCTTCTGTCCATCCAGCGTGTGACAAAAGAGCAGCCAGTGATGCTGCCTCTGGCCCTCCAAGTGAAGAAGGGTCTTCACAAACTTTGACTCCGCAACCCTGCTCAAAAAGAGAGTGTCTGAACTCATCGGAGGAGAGCTCTAGCAAAGGCGATGTCTCTGCATGCTTCAGCTTTCTGAAGAAGCTCTGGGATGTTGTTGAAAGCGATCGGTTTGAGTCCATTTGGTGGGGTGACAACGGGCAGTGTGTTGTGATTCATGAAGAATTGTTTGAAGAGGAAGTACTAGCAAGGAGAGGACATCTGAGAATTTTTGGAAGTGAGAACATGAGAAGCTTCACTGATTGCCTCCAGCTGCATGGATTCACCAGAAAGCTGGGGGATTTTCCAAAATTGGGCTTGCACAGTGACTTGACAGCGGAAGAGGCAGCTAGGGAGGTATGTTGGATCCTCTATGTGCAAACTAACTCTCAGAATATTCTAGTGGGACAGGTTGCTGTTCCAATTAAGTAAGCCTTTACTACCTAGGAGATGAGAATGGTAGCAAATGTTCTGATGGTCACTTGTTTCTCAGCTTGTGTCCAGGAGTTTTTGAGGTAGCGCTTCTGAGTAGTAGAAATGCTGATAAAATACGTGCTGGTTCTTTCCAATTGCTTTGAACACATACAATGAAAACACAGTCCCTTCCTATCAGGACTTTTTTTTTTTTTTTTTTGATATTTGCTATGTCTTGCTGTACCAGATGTGCAGTTTGTTGGGTTTTTTTGCTGAAGGCCAAGAAGGTATGTGTCAGCATCATATGATTACCTACCTGTTCATTCCACACTGAAGTTACTGAAAAATAATGGTATTTGGGTTTCTAAATCCATTTGTATGCTTTTGAAAATCCTACACATCTCTGCTACCAAGCCGCAGAAACACAAAGCTGGTTACTACTTAGCAGGATTGTATAGCACTATTTTATTCTTTGAGTCTGAACTTCAGGTTTAGACCACCCCTGATAGTCTCTTTTTAACAGCCACATTTCTCTTTTGCAGTTCAAATTCTTAGCTCTAGTATCTTTGTGTTTTCCAGTCTCAAGGTGGTGGCAACTCTTTTCCTTTGCGTTTTTCAGTTTCACTTCTACTACAACCCAAATTTTAGAAGATACTTTCCATATTCGCTAAGGGAGTATAAGCAACGCTTTGACCCAAACAGTCAAACAGCGGCAGGAGTTTCACCAGACACAGATTATTTGCATGCACGCTGCCGGAAGAGAAAACCAGATGTTGAGGTTGTGTGGGAAACCACTTCCGAGGAGGAGAGCGGTCCGTTGGCAGCAGCTCCGAGGGAGAACACGTGCACCCCTGCGCCCAGGAAGACGGCACGCGCCAAGGGCCGCGCCAAGGGCCGCGCCAAGGCAGCTGCCCGCGCCAAGGCAGCTGCCCGAGCCAGACGTGCCTCTACATCTGCCCACACCTCTGCCCTGGCCCAGGCCGACCCTGCGGAGCAGTAGGCAGGGAGCAACTCCATCCTCTGGCCCCAGCACAGCAGCCCCGGCCCGGCCGGCACGCCGGGGGCTGCTGCCGCCTCACCAGGCCCCGCCGTGCCGGCCAGGCCCAACAGCCACTTTCCGCCAGGGCCGGCACCTCCCGCCTCTCCAGCCGTGCTGGCGGCAGCCCCTGCCCTGTCCAGGCCGAGGCCACCTCTGGGCCAACCCCCCCCCCACCCCTGCTGCCCCCCTGCACGTGTGGTCCCAACAGCGGCCCTGCAGGCAATGGGCTCGCCCTGGGACACGTTCCTAGGGAATAGAGTCTCTCTTATGTGTTCCAATAAACTGTTTCAATAAAAGCCTATGCCCGTTGTCCTGTCCTGTTTTTACAGCTGTGCCTATGCCTGGTCTTGGGCCTTACTCCACAAAGTTGAAAATATTTTAATTGTGAAGCAGGATGTGAATTACAAAAAACACTTGAAGTACCCAAATTAATGACTTATTTGTCACTCTTCACACTTGTCTTTGAAAATCTAATACTGAATTAAAAATTACTAATACTTTTCATCTTAAAAGAGAAATGTTAGAGTACTTCCTTTAATTTTGTACAAGCACCTTTTTTCTTGTAAAGGCCTTCCTACACAGGCTCTCAAGTCAGAGCTGCAGCCTGCTCCGCCCATCAGAGGCGCATGTACTATACCTGGGCTGTAAATGAGGTAAAGCTCCCAGAAAGGACTAGATTTTTATTTACAGACACAGGCTCTGTGGAAAAACCTCATCCAGCCAATCTTAGCTAATTTCTTGCTCAGTAATCCCACAACCGTAAGGAGAGGAGTAGGCTGTGAGACAAATGTTTTCTTGATGATGGCAGCCGGCTTTCAAGCACCATTTTGCTGAAAGGTCCTCCAAACTCCTCCTCCTTCATATAATGGGAAATGCACACAGATAGTATCGTATTTAGACACGTTTTAAATTGGCACACAATGCATCAACCATGTATTTAAAATAAGGGCATTTATAGTTATGTGTATGGGGAGAATGTAGTAAACCAATTAATAATTTCCAGTAATGGTCACAAAAATTGCTCTTCCGAGGCAAAATAAACAAGATGTAGTTTTTCAAATGTATTGGCTCTTTCAAATGGTTAGCTCTGGAAGGGAATCCAACTCACTGGTATTCAAGATGCTGACTTGTGAATTATAAGTTTGCATTTAGGTAGGAAAAAGAATAGCGAGGGGCAACACCTACGCTTCCGAAGGGATCAGTTCTTCAGGGATGTCCACCTGCCACACACCTCTTCTCCCTCTGGCGGGAATCGGTTCCAGGAGCCACCTTGGATTTGAAACAAGAGTCAAGTATTTCTGTTCTAGATTACTGAGGACAGCTCTGTTCTCCAGCTCCAGAATCTTTTCAGGAGGCAAGTTTTCTGGATATAGTGATGTCTCTCCAATGTCAATCAATCCTGCGTTATAAAATCAAAATATAAAATTAGATAGCTGTTTGATCTCCCAGAGAAAAGTTTTCCAAAAGTCAGCCTCCCAGAAGACATACAAGAGAGCTAATTTGTTACCAGAAGAGCACAGTATGAAGCCTGCACACTTCAAACCAGTGTCATTCACTGCAGAAGACAGCCTCTGTGACTGAACTGAGGTTGGTGAAGAACAGGTCAAGCATGCAGTTACAATACTGACAACTCAGTGATCTAGGATTCTGCTAAAAGAAGCCTGCATCTACGGAAATGCAGGTGCTACCAAAACTCCTGAGCTACACTTGGCCTTGAAACAGCTTCATTAAAAATAAAATTCTCTGTTCCTATCAGTACGCTATTGCATTAACATTTTAAAATCATTAAACTATATGAAAATTCCTGATGTCATAAAAGGGAATTTCTATATTGCTTAAAGAATAGAAACATTAAAAAAAAAACCTCAGAGCAGCTTTGATACTTACACCACAATTTAGTGTGCAATTTATGCCAAGGTTACAAGTCTGCATATTACGTAGTACCTAACAATTTTCCATTGGAACAGAAAAATTATTTCAGTATACGTGACAGAAATAATTTGTTGTGTAGGAATAGCTAAAGGTATTCAAATGAGAATGCAAAACAGATGCCATAACAAAAGATACCTACAAGAACGCAAAATGAGTGCTGGATAAAAACTTTGTAAGTATACAGTGCATCAACATCCATTGTATTTCACCATAATATAAGCAAAGGAACACCACTCCATCCTAGCATAGAACCAAGCTACTTCACTGCCCAAGTAACAACAGCAATGGGACATTTGTAGAATAGAAACAGGATTTATTTACGTAATATTCTAATATGATATGCAAAGCACTGCAACGTCATGACTTCGTTTGATGAGTATTGTAAAATGTTTTCAGCAAGAGTTCCTAAGCTCATAATGCAGTAAGTGTGGAATTGACATTTATTATCAGGAAATAAAATAATATGCAACCAATGTTATGCTATCTTAATGTCTGATGAGTTAGCACGAATCAATTTTATTTCTTGTAGAGACTTTCAGGTTGCAGTCTGAAGAGTTTAGCGAAGTGAGTGTATTTTAAAAACTGAAACCTGACTAAAATTCAATATTCTAAAGGTCAAAGATACTTCAAATTTCCAACACAATAAAAAAGAATAAATTTTATTTACATCTTTCCTCATGGGCCTCAGTTTACAGTGATAAGGAATCGAAATAGCCGCCCCAGTCACAACTCAGGCACCACCAATTCTCTAAAGTAAGTGTTAAAGCAATGTGATAACGAGCATAACCATGTAAAGCACGTGTATTAGACTGAACGTCAATGGATTGAAAACTTGTTTGGAAAATATAATCCAAGGTTCCTTACCTGCAATAACTCCTCTGCCAAATTTTTCCCCTTTATCCAACAAACCTTGCACTTCTTCTCGTGTCATACCAAACCTATCCAAAAGAATTGCTTTCCATGTTTCATCTTCCCAGTCCTTAATAGCTATATGAATAGCAATAGTACAGTTCTTGTACTTTGCTAGCAAAGGACGCCAGCGGGTCTCTACTGTCTTGACTTTGTTTAAAATTAATCCTGCATAGGGCTGTCGGAAGGAAAGGCAACCAAATTTCATCGTCTTCCTCGCATCAGAAGCCGTTTATTTCCTACAAGCAAAGAGACACCCTCAGATTAGTCTTCAGAAACGTGTCCCTGGCCACGACGAACTCGTCCGTCTGCCGGAGCAGCTGCCCGCAACACCGGGACGCCGCGCTAACGGGAGCTGCGCGCCTCCTCCCCGCGGGGGCGGACTTTCCGGGGGCCCCGCGGTGCAAACGCCGCCCGCCCGCCCGCCGCGCCCCGCGCACAGGCCCCTCCGGGCAACAGCGGCCTCAGCGCCCCGGGGGCGGCCGCTGCACCGGCGGGCCGGCCCCCCCGCCACCGGAGAGCGCTGCCCCCACGGGGCGGGGGGGAAGCGCTTTGGTTAGCGGGGCCGCGCGGCGCGGCCCGGCCCGGCCCGGCCCCGCAGGCCGCGCTCGGGAGCCGGAAGCGGTTTCGCAGCCCGCTCCTCAGCGGGCGGCCCGGGGCCGGAGGGACGCAACCGTCCCGTGCCCCGGCGCGGAGGCCCCGGAGCCGCCTCCTACCTGGCGCCGCCAGCTCCACGCCCTCCCCGCGGGGCCGGCCGGCCGCGCTGCCGTCCCGCTCGGTGCCGCGGGGGGAAGGCGGGTGGCGGGGCGGTTCTGCCGCCGCTTGTGGGCGGGGCCGTCTCTGCGCGGCCGGGGTAGCGAGGCCGGCACCTGCCCACCTGTGGTTTTCGCCTTTTTTTTTTTCCTTTCCTCTCCTTCTGTTGGTTATCCCGCGAAAAGGGCGGTGGTCTCGCCCCCCCCAGCTTCCCGCCGGGCAGTGAGGGTGGTGGGAGCGTGGCGCCCGGGGCGTGTTTTGGTGGCTGCTGAGGGGAGGAGGGAGCTGGGGTGTCCCCGGGGTGCGCCGCCGGAGCGGCCGGTGCAGCGACCGCCAGTGGGTCTTGGCGCTGGTAAGGAGCGGTCTGACGGTGCTCGCCATCCAAGTCCCCTGAAAGTAAAACGGCAGCAGAAGCTCTGTGGTGGGCGGCCCCTCCCCGCGGCACTGGCGCCGGAGCTGGAGGGGTGTGCAAAGGGCCTCCTGCCTCTGGAAGTAACTAAAAGCCGTTTAGCACTTAAAAACTCAGTGGTCTCTTACCTCCCTTACATTTCTTTGGCCAATAGCTCATTTTGGACAGAATTTCCCCAAGTGGAGAACGTGGTAAGTAATAGAAGAATTTTGCTTTCGCTAAAAGTAATTAAAAATTACTTCTTAGGCTAAAGTTATTACTAGTACAATGATCCAAATTTTAAGAAAAGACTTTACTACTGGGAAAAGGGGGGAATTGATCTGAGGAAACACCAACCCAACAGCCCCCCCTCTTGGGATGCTCACCAGATGGTCCATATCAAAGGGCGGTAACTCCTTTGCAATGGATTGAGAAAGAACAGAATGGGCCATCTCTGGTATCCCTTGTCCTTGAGATAAGAGAGGAATTGAAACCACTGAGCCATAAAAGACAAAGGAGCTGCAAATTGGCCCAGGCTTGAAGGACAAGGTGTAGTGACCACAGGACTGAAGAAAGAAGATTGTAGAAGAAGCCAGGAGGCGTGCCGAAGGTGTTGAAACCGGCAGCTGGGTGGATAAAAGGGGGTTTGAAACTTAAACAATTTGGTGAGCCTGGACGGAGCTGCGACTCCTCGGCCACCCCAGCGCTGCATTTGCTCTCTTACCTTAATAAAGATTCATTAATCCATATTTGGATGTGATTGGCCTTAATCTACCTATAACAGAGAATCTCATTTGTACATTTCAAATAGCAACAGTATACATTTTGAATCAGTGTTTTGGCTTACTTGAAATGTAGGTTTTGCATCAATGCCTTGCCATTCTAATGCAAGTGTTTTGAACAGAACAGCTATTTCACAACAGAGGTGTTACCTGTGCTAGTCTCCTTGTGATCCCTGGTAGGCCATCCCTGGAACCGTACGTGAAGGCCTAGTGAACACAATAAATGAAGATTTATTGAATGAAGAGACCTCACAGTAAAGGAAGATTTGTAAAAGAAGGTGTTTCAAATAGATGTATGGTCCCCCTGTATTTGTTCAGTTTTAAGGGGATAAGCAATATATATTTTATCTTGGTGCACACATGTTTCAACAGAGTTAATTTCTAACATAAACAAATAAAGTGACCTTATTAAGGCAGACCCTAATGCTGAATAGCAAGGGACTGTGAAAATGGCTACTGATGCAGCAAGTCAAACAGCTGAGATCCTGCCTGAATTCCTGCAGGTGTAAAAGATAAAAAATGCAGATGCATCTGTATCCAAACAGAAGTCAAAGGAGAGTCATCTTTCCTGTAGAGCCACATCTATCGGTTGAGGGTTATAAATATGAGAAGTATTTGGGGAGTTTTTCTATGCATGTACCATCTTAAAGAAAGGAAGCAGGGAGGAGAGAAAGGAGGAGAGAACATTCACAAAAAAAGGAATGAGTTTGCAGTAGAAGTAAGGAGAGATAGGCAAGAGGAAGAAAAGTGGGAGAGATGGAAAAGACAAATTAGTAATATTTACAAAGGGTAAATATTACAGCCATCACCAACATAAAATCCTGATTTTGAATACTGGTTTTAGTGATTTAGAATTTATCCTCTGCTCTATTGAACCACACTTTTCAATCATGAGGAATCTCAAAATTACGTTAACAATTGCAGGAACTTAGGTGGAAAGAGAAAAATAGTTTGCCAGAATTCCACTGACAAAGAGATGGGCTGTATCTTTACTTAACAAAGGCAGAAGAACTTCAGAAGGTAAGCTTAAGGAGGTTGTTTTGTGGTGGGTTTTGTTTGTTTGTTTGTTTTGGTTTTGTTTTGTTTTTTTTATGTTCAGGTCTATGACTTTGTGAATAACAGGTATTTATCAGTAAAACCTTGCCTGTAACCTTAGTACTATGTAAGTGCACTGGACAGCATGGTTAGATGATTCTTTTCTGATGATAAGCACTTCAGATAGCTTTTATGATAGCTGTTTTTGGTGTACACTTCAAATATGCCTTCAGTGTATGTTGTGTATTCTGAAGTATTTTATGGCTGATAGACTTCAACTGTTGAAACCTACTTTTTTCTTATCGCCACTTTCTGAAATTCCTACTGCTCTCATTGTCCTTTTTTTTCCCCAGGATATTTCCAATATCTTGTTCAAAATGTTCCAAATGGCGTCATTCCTGCCATAATAACAAGAGTAATTAACAGATGACGTGAATTTAAGGTCACTGCGCTTTTTACAGAGTTATTATTTTATATGGTCTTTGGCTTTAAGCTCTTTCCATCTTACTAGATGCGCATGGTTAGCTGAAGAACCTGTTGAATCTGTTTAGTTGCAAGTTTGTAATGAGTTTTCGTGCTTTTTTTGGTATTTGCTTTTGGTAATTTTCCACTGCATAATTACAGTTTATGTGAGGGTTACTTATTTTGGGGAAAATATAGGCCAAAATTTTTTTATGTCGTGTAAGTAAGTGTTAGGTTTGTTCTAGGATCATATAACTTGTAGCAGGATTTGTATCATGTGTTTCATCCCATAAATAAAATACAGTTTTCTTGGTTTAAGCAAAAATCTCCAAGGTACTTAAAATCTCAAGTCTGACAGTTCTAAATAAAATGTAAATAGCACAAGACCTGTGTGCTACTACCAACAGTGAATAAATATTATGTTGAAAATTTTCTGCCAGAAAGCTAGCTAGCTTGGTTTGTAGAAACCTTGTCTGATGTATTGTGACATTCACTGAAAGTCTTAAAAACAATTTATAGTGGCACCTAAATTTTGTGTGTGTGATGAGTGGTAAAGTGACTTTAGTAGGTTCCCGCAGGATATAAGATAATGATTTGAAGTGTACAGTAGTGAGTATGAAAAAGAAAATTAATTCTGATTTTTGCAGATGATCATCTTGTGCTTGACATCTTACACGAATGTAACTGTTTTTTTGGTCACTGTGGCTTTCACATGCTAACACCAATCCCAAATTATCTAATCTTGGCACAGTACCTCACATGATGATGATCTCAATAGCAGAAAATTCTAAAAGTTTTGTCTATACTTCTGTAAAGTATACTTCATGTTAGTGTCTCTAATTTAACTTTCAGCTGTCCCTAATTTTAGTTTTAATAGAATAAAGACTGCATAATTCCAATTACAGAATGTGCTACTGATTTCTGTGGAGCTAAAACAATGCCTAGTACATCATTTATAAGGACTCAGGTCTGATCTCATCTAGAAAGGCAAGCGTTGCCGTGTTTCTTGTCAAATTCTCCTAGTACCTGATTTTGCATGATTCAGTACGCAGCAATAGGTGCTGGGATATCTTGGGTCAAAATCAGGTCAAGGTACTCAATCAGATACAGCTCATTTCAGAAGTGGGTAAAGATTTGGTGCAGTATGTTCCAGGATATTGGAGGTCAAAACTGAAATTTCAGCTGTTAATAATCCATGAAATACAATACAAGACAATTATTTGAGTGGTCACTATTTAATAGAAAACATTCGTGAGAAGCTGGGATACGTTGACATACGAACATCCATTGCATTTCCCTGCATTTTTAGAACCTCAGACAATGTGAAGTGTGATGCTGTGACTCTCTATCCTTTTGGCAGCAATTTCACCTTAAGGACTTCTATCAACCTTCTACAGTTTGCCACCTTTCCCTTAATTTTACTCTGTCTCTCATTCGAATATTCTAATTCACAAAAACTCAGTGCATGATGGAAAACCAGCTTCATATTACTCTTATACCCAAATAAAGAACTTCTAAGTTTTGGATGAACTAAAATACTTGCATTTTACCTTGCTGTTACGTATTTCCTTGTATATATTGTGAGAAATTACTGTCATAAGTGTTTTAGTAAATATATCTCCAGTTTCTTTAGATGATTCTCTTATTTCCAGATTTGTTGCAACACTGTGTTTCCTGAACAATTTTCTGAAAATGTGAATCTTTTTTTTTTTTTTTTTTTTTTTTTTTACACATACCTCACACATGCCCCACAAGTAGAGTACATTTCTAGTTTGTAACACATCACTGATGTTACTATCCTTGTCAAAAGTTTTGGCATTATAAATAATCAGTAGTCATAGTTCATTGGTTACTTATAGTAGAGTTTTCCTGTGTCTGAGAAATATTTTAATGAGGTTTCTCAGTGTGTATAGCTCGGTGGTAAAAATGCAGCTGTATATCAGAGTGCTATTCAAGAATGAAATGCATACATGCTAAATTTTCTCTTATGCAAGTTTCAGTATGTTTTCATAACAGATGTGTATATGACAGGTCTTATGTAAGAACATATGCACTGTTCATTTTTTAAATAAACAACATGAAAATATAAGGTAGAGTGTGAGCATTAGCTTCCAGTATTTGTTTGCAGTCAATCATACTGCTTTTCGTAATGGTATATCATAGTAACTGTATAGTGGTATGTAATAGCTAATATGCTGGAAGTTTTTCTGATTTAATGTATATAGCTTCATGTCTATATCACAGTTTCTGTACAGAAGAAAATTTGCTGGAAAACTTTGCCCTTAGTTTACCAGTATTAATGAAGGTAATGACATTTGAAAATCAAGCGTGTTGCTGTGATAAGTCTTGCTTTCTCAATTTACAATTAGCTCCATAAATCAAATTAAAAAGCATTATTTATTTTCTACAGAACAAATACACTTACTGGACAAAGAGTTCAAGGAAACTTTCTGGCACATTGCCAGAAATTACAAATAAATCTGCTGTTCTTTGACTGTGCTAGGTGTTCTTTTCTGTTTGCTTTCTTCTGTTCAAGCAGTTGAGTGCCTTCTAACTTCAAGTGCTTGAATACAGACAGAATAAATGGCTTCTGAAAATATCTGCATGCACATCTTTTTAGAAGGTGCTTTGGGTGATACAGAAACATGGAAGCTGGACAAAGATGAATTGTGAGAGAGATATTTAAGAAGGATCCATTTTGTTGGGTCAGACAAATTAACATTTAAAACAGCTTCTAGTCACATAGTTGCAGCCTCGGTGGGAACTTCAAAAACTCTTTTCAGATCTTCCTTTGTTTATGGGAGACACTAACTTTTTTGGAGTATATACATAGAAATTTTTGGCAAAGGGACATGTGTTTAGTCATATTCCTACTGAAGATGCCCCTGAAGCTGTGAATATAGCCTACATAGCTTTGCAGGGTATGCAGTGGAAGGGCGAGCCAGCAGTTCACAGGTAGTGAGGCAGTCCAGGTGTGATACAAAGTAGCAACAGTGATCTTATTAACATGGGAGTTGAACTCCTAAATTTCCATCGGAGATTAGTTTTTTCAGCCATTTCATTGCAAATTACTGGGCTTTTTAACTGGGTGATAATTTATTTTAGAAAGAAAATAGAACATACGTAATACCTGGGTGAGTCTCTGTTTACTTAGAATATTATTTTGGTGATATTCATGTTGCATTCTAGTCTCTGACATTATGGTATCCATAGTCCTCAAAAGTTGCCACAAGTGCCTGGGTTTCATACTTGTCTGGAACAAGAAGGGGAAATATTGTTATTCGCTCCAGAATATTACATTATGATTAAAAAAGTTTTCCAAACACTGACGTTACGATTTGGAGCTCTTATGTAAGTGCAGTCCAAAGATTTCTGGTAGGCAAATGTCTTTGCTTACTGCAGCTATGCCTATTTTTCTGTGTTATTTAAAGCAGCTAAATATGCATATAAGGTGCCACTATGTGCACTATTTTTTGAATGAAGGGTGGTTCTCAGTAGTATACAATGTGCTAGATACCCTAAACCCCCTACTCCACCCCAACATGGACAGTGTCCTGCCTTGTCTCTTTTACATCAGGTCTTGCTGCTGAATTTTCCATGTATTTGAACTGGGCAGCAGGCATGTGAGCGTGAGACAGGCCAGGTCTGCTGGTGAGTTTTATCTGCTTAATGATTTATTTCTAAACTGTAAGGCTGCTAATATTCAGAGACCATCCTGGTCCTTCTGCTTTTCTGAAGGTTAAAAGAAGGTTGTAACTATAGGCTGAACACCAAGCTAGCTGATTTAGAAACATCTTGTGTAGCTTTCCACAGCAATCTTTTTTTGATTGAGATACGTGGCTTCATGCTGAGGTAATCTGCAGGGGAAGGAGAGCTTGTAGTGATGAGCTCTCCTTCCCCTGCTGATTATTATGTCCAATCCACAGGCAACTCTGAATGCAGTATGTGGCTGCATAAAACATTTTTAAAGATAAAGACTGATCAATACTTTTGTACGGCTGTGGGTTCGTGACCAGGGTTCATGCCCTCTAAAATGCTGAGAACATTTTTCTTAATGAGTCTGCGCTCCTGCTATAAAGGAGGTAGGTATCCTTACTTCATCTGATTGATGCTGTCCATCCAGCTTTATAACTATTTCCATTTTAATGTTTTCAGATGCAAGGTGTTGCTGGAAGTTTTGAAAGATCATTTAAAGCTATTTCTAATATGTGGAAAATTCATGCTACCTGTGGCAACTAAAATATGAATTACTTCTTTTGTTTCCTTAGTAACATCTACCTTATATAACATGTACAGTGCTTACGAATTCTTCAACAATTTCTACTGTGTTTGGCTAAGTACCTTTTGATCCTGTCTCATCAGGAGACACTTAAAGAAAGAGGAGAAAATGAATTGCCTCACCATTTTGAGTTAATCACAAAAGATATTCCTGGCAAGAACTACAAGAATCCATGTGCAGAAACAAATGTATTTTGAAACTAGTCCTGTATGTTCTTTTGTCACTAAAGCATTACTTTTTGGCTACTGATAAAACACTATTAAAAATGGAAAATGTAGTTCTTCTTTCTGAATTCAAACTAGTGAACTAACTGGCAAAAACTATCTTCCCTGAAAGAAGTGCCTTCACATCAGAGGTCAATCCGGTTCTGTTTCTTCTTGGCTTTTTTGGTTGTGGGTTTTGGGTTGTTTTTGTTTTTTTTTTTTTTGGTGGGAGTTTTTTTTAATTGGTTGGTTTGGTTTTGTTTTGGAATATTGGTGTCAATATAGGCTGTGTTAGAGAAGGCACCAATAAATGGTTTGTTACACTACTGGGTAGAACGTTATTAAAGAATTCTAGGAAACATGTTGCTTCTAGCTGATACAGGTTGATTTTCTATTCTTGCTGTCTAAAAATATTAGAGATAAAATGGAAACTTATAAAACATATGTGTGTATAGATGCCTGTATAGACCTGATGTGCATGTTTATCATCATGATGATTAGAAAAATGTATAAAAGCCAAATCTAGAACAGATTGGTTTGCTGTGCTATGGTTAAAACTGTGTTTAGCATTCTACATAAGATTTAAAAATAGATGGTTAACTTCTGACTTGCTCTTTCTAGTAAGCGTGTGTGTGTGTTACTTTAGTGAGTTTTGTGTGTTTCAGTGCAGTAATAACCATTTTATATGTGGTTGCTTTTTTATATATATGTTTTTTCCTACATATATATAATTCGAATATTTAGGTTGTATTTTAAAGTACATCATCTCATCCTTTCTCTGCATTTTCTTTTGTTTTCAGGAATTTCTCATATATAATGGACTTACATGCTCTCTTAAATTTCAGGTGTCTTGATCTCCACTTCTCTATTGTACCCATTAGGAAACACAGAATGTTTTCATCATGCATGACTACTTAGATGAAGTGTTACTTTTTCTTAGGCATACTTTTAAAGATAAAGCAGTATCCGATCAGTTAATTCTAGTGTTAGTCTAAATGCATACTAGAGTGGTCCATATTTTATTTTAATCACTAATCAAGATGTCAAATGAACCTAATTTCTAATACATCAGCAAGCAGAAATTAAAATAAAATATAAGCTGATTTTGTCCAAAATCTGAAAATATCTTAATTATCAAAGTGGTTTTGAACTGAAGGTTTATATCCCCTTCGTTGTAAACAATCATATGTTAGTGAAAAGCATGTATGTGTGTTCTGGGAAATACTATATTTCAAAGATGCCCTACATAACTCTGTGGGTTTTTTAAACTGGAAAATGTTTCTAACTTAAGAGCTTCAGTTAGTCTTTTCAGATAATAATTCTCTGATCTTTGAAATTCCTACCCATGTAGGGCTGCCCATAAACTTTGGGAGGAATCTTGCCAAGTCTGTTTCATTGTTCTACTTTGTTCAAGCTAGACACAAACTTCATTTTTTTAAAAAAAGTATCATTTAGGGTTAGTTCTCCTAGTGGGAAGGAGAACACACAGAAAGCTTTCATTAACACTTTTAATGAGAAGTATTGCTTTTTTGTATAGCCTCATAACCTAAGTGTCTTCAGTGTAATTTCAAATATCTCTGTTATACAGATGAATGTATCATGTAAATTCATGTAAATGAATGAATCTGGATGTTATCTTCCAGTATTCAATGTATTTCCCCCCACCCCCCCCCAGTAGATCTGGGACTGTTAAACTTTCTGTTTTCAGTCTGATTAGTTTGGCTTTTATTTCTCTAATCACTCTAAGTGTTGCAGGTAGTGATTTTCTTTTTTTTTTTTTTTTTAATACCAGGAAGGTCTTTCCTCAGGGGACAGCTGCTTCTACAGTTACTCTGTTGGGATCACAGCTTCCCAAATTTAGGGGTACTTAGTAATACCTAGTGTAAATGCAAATGATGTTCTGTATTGCAGTGATTAGCACGGAGTTAGAAAAGTCCTTTGACAGATTCTTCGCTCATCTTGGAAATGGCTTTATCACGCAAAGAGTTAACTAATGTTTTTTTCTTTTTCTAGCTGGAAATCTTGTGTTCAGTCAATATTCTACAGTTCATATTTATTGCACTCAGACTAGATGAGATCATCAGATGGCCATGGCTTGTATGTAACAAGTTCTGTTCTTATCCTTGGTTAAATGCTGAATTTCATAAAGATATTTATTATAGGGAACAGTTAATGTATGATCAGAGTCCACAATCACTTTTTTGCTTGCTTAACAAGCCTTCACGGAAGGTCTGGCATTTCATTCAGTGGTCATGGGAAACAAAGTCTCTTCTTTGGTCATTTCATCCTTTGGGGGAGAGTTGAACTACATTGAGTTAAGTTTAAATTGTTTCAGCTTGATGGGGCGTACAAAGCTGAGGAACGCCAAAGAGCTGATACTGCTCATAATGGTGCATATGATTTGTGAAACTTTTCTGCCAGAGATTATATTAGATTTCTTTTCCTTGTTTAGACTTAATATGTAGACTTGCTTTATTTAAAAACCCCACACCTGAAAGAAATCAAACTGATAAGAATGTATCACTGTCAAGGGGGAGGAAAGCAGTTAATTTCTCTTTCTTTCAGGTTGTTTGTGTTCCACTGTGGATCTTGATGTCCTTTCTGTGTCTAGTAGTGCTCTATTACATTGTATGGTCTGTTCTCTTCTTGCGCTCTATGGATGTGATTGCTGAGCAGAGGAGGACACACATAACAATGGCTGTCAGCTGGATGACAATTGTAGTTCCACTGCTCACATTTGAGGTAGGAAAAGGCGTGACGAGTGTTAGGCATCTTGTTCTTTTTTCAGTGAGTGATGAAGTTGCTCTGTCTCTTTGAACTTACTAAAATGAGAACACTGCTTTTTGTTTTGGAATAAGACATTAGCAGCAGATATGAAAGAAAAACAAGAATCCTGTGTTTCTTTAAAGTTTTTTGAGTAAAATATGCATCACATTGGAACTGTAACTACGTGTTTCTGTGGAGACCATTTTTCTTCACAGTTATGTGAAGCTGAAGGTCTGAGATCAGCCTCTGTTTTCAGCAGCTTGAAAGTGGGTATTGCAATTAAACTGACACTGTATAATTTTTTTGCCATTTAGATCTTACTAGTACACAGACTGGATGGGCATAATTCTTTTTCTTTTATACCCATATTTGTTCCTCTCTGGCTTTCACTGATAACTTTAATGGCAACAACATTCGGACAAAAAGGAGGAAATCACTGTAAGTATTTAAAAATCATGGAAATAGATTGAAACTCAAGGCTTAAATGTAATTTATTAAGACTGTATTTTCAAAAAGGGCTTTTTTGTATATATTCTCTCATGGAAGAATTCAGATGTGTCTGTTACTATTGTTTTCAAGTCATTTTAGTAAGTTTTCAGTGTTTGTAGTGCCTCTTGCTTTTTTTTCTTACTCCTGTAAGAGCATGACTTCTGCTTGGGCTCAGCTTGAAATCTCAATGGGATTTTAATTGTAACTTAGCCTTTTACCCTTTCTTATTTCCATGGGTTTCATTCTCACGGGACATGACTGGATCTTTCCACTCTGGGTTCTGAAAATTAATTAGCATTTGTCCTAGTAGGCTGAACTAGTAGTCTCTTTCCTCTTTGGCCAAATAGTGTTCTCTGCTGTTTTGTTGTAACCTCAGTTGCCTGAGTGGCCACTGTAGATTTACCAGGATTTTGTCCCCATTATCACTAGTACTGCCCAAAGGAGCATTTGCACTTTCAGCCATCTCATGTTACTGAACCAGTTCAGATGAGTAGCTCTTCCCATCCGTGTTGCAGCTCATGTTCCTTGTTGACAAGGCAGTAAAATTCATTAGGATTTTTCAGAGTTGAATGAACCAGCTGTGATGTTTGTTATATAAACTCATTTCAGTTTTGGTCAGATTGTGAAGTACACTGAGAATTTCTTTCTTGGGTCATGACGAAGCTTATCTCTATATATTTAGTTTACTTTTATATTGTTATTGCATGGAAAATTTACTGGTGGTATTTATTTTTTTAAATGCATGCCCTTGATAATTTATGGCCAGGTTAGTCTTTGGGAAAGCCAAGTGTGTCCATTTTATCTTTTGTAGGGTTAATCAATACTTATGTAAATTTTTTAAAAAAGACAGTTCACCAAAGTGAACCTCAGAGCAAAATACAAGACAAACACACAGTGTGTACTGTTTTCTAATCTAGCACAGGTAGCACCAAGGATGAGGTACTCCTGGCATCGCATGATATTTGGCTAACAACAAAAGTATTTTGGGAATACTGAATACATACATTTACTAATCTGTGTGTGCTTATGCCATCACATTCTCTCTGGTATTGTAACTTATATGGATCAAACAGAAGTTGGCGTGAATGACTTCCCATGTGGCACTGATTGCTTTGATTTGAGATGCAAAGTCTTTTGTGTTATTTCTCTGTGTACTGATGTGACTTGGCAGTGCTTGACAAGTGAAGTGAAATGGATTCTTGCTGTGGTAGTATAACTGTAATTTATACATATGGATATACACATACAGACACGCACGTGCAGACATGCAGAGCCATGTAATGCATGTATATGTTCTGTATGTGTATCTGTATATGATCTGAACTGTAATGTTGTTGTATGATGGGTATAAATAACATACGGAGAAGCAGCACTAACAAATTTTATATTGTTCATATGCAGACAATTAAGAGAACTTAAGATTGCATAGTCTGCCTACTTAATTAATTCTGTTCTGCAGTAATGTGAAGTGATTTTTTTTTTTTTTTTTTTTTTTTAGGGTGGTTTGGAATTCGCAAAGACTTTTGCCAGTTTCTGCTTGAAATTTTCCCATTCTTACGAGAATATGGCAATATTTCTTATGATCTTCATCATGAAGATAATGAGGAAACAGAAGAAACACCACTGCCTGAACCACCAAAAATTGCACCAATGTTTCGAAAAAAGACTGGAGTGGTCATTACACAGAGTCCTGGAAAATACGTGATTCCACCTCCCAAATTAAACATTGATATGCCAGATTAAGATGACAGTAGCATATTAAACTTGAACTGGGACTACTTTACCATCATCCAGACCCGTGCATCAGCTGGGGAGCCCCGTCACAGCGAAGGGTCGCAGAGCCTTTCCCGGCAATTGGGAAGTCCTATGCAGTGCGTCCACTCGTAGGTGAGGTCTCCGTCTTTGCTGTGAGAGGGTCCAGCTTTTATACAGTTTAACAAACAAGTCTAAACAAAACGCACAGGAGATATCTGGTAGATTGATATGCCTCACTCAGGCATGTCCGGATCTGGCCAGGATCCGGGCATGTCTGAGGAGTTTCTGTTTTTCTTTACATTTGGGATTTATAGTTACTTCCTATTGTTTAATTATAGTTCCCAAGGATTGTTCCCAGGGTTACATTTTCATGATGATAAGATACTGGTTGCTTCAGTCTGCTGATAAGATGCTGATTGCTGGTCGGGGAATTCACTCAGAAGTCAACTTTGGTTTGAGGCCTATTGTTTGGGCCCCTTTTTGTTTCAATCGGTCCTTTGACTTATGAGTGAAGATCACGACCCTTTTGGAAGAGCCCAATATGTTCGCTCTATCCGTTTGATACGATACCATACATAACAATTATATAAAGTAATAATAATAATGATAACTAACAATATTACAAGAGGATGTATTAAGAAATTCAACACTTGGGTTGCAGAGGATGAATATCCAGTAAAGATGTCCCACCAGTGGTGTGCAGTCTCCTTTTCCATCTGGCTAGCTAGCGACATTAGCTGATTCTTTGTGATTACAGTCTGTATCACAGAGTCTGACAGAGTTTTATTTCGTCGTTCTAGGTGTCGTCGCAAATGTTCTGATTGTTCCATGATGGTTTTCAGTGGAGTCAGGGATAAGCTGATTCCATTAAGTCCTAAGCTTTGGGGATGCCAGTACATGTTTAGTCGTTCTTCATGCGTTGAATAAAAAGTATACATCTGTCCGTGCCAGATGAGATAGAATACATTTCTGAGGCATCCCGAAAATGGAGCACTTAGATTATACATTTCTATAATATTTTTATCATTTGTTACTATACAAACATGCTTAGCACTAATTTCTACAAACATATCAAAGCTTTTGGGCAAAATTGTCCATTTACACAGATTCACTGAATGTTCCAATAAACATGGTTCATATAACCGCGAGCTTTGTCCACACAATAAACCATTTGCTGTGGACGTACACAAATCTAATTTATGGGTTCGATTCCTAGAGTCTATATAGTCTCCCTCCAAGTGGGGCAGCCAATATTCTGGTTCAAAGGGTGTTTTTTCCCCAAAAATTACAGGCAGTACTAGAAATTTACACATAACTTCAGGTTGGCTAATATTGTAGTGGCTTATTTGACGAGCACAGAATAAATCTGTGCACTGCACTGTCTGTGGCGATAATTTGACCCAATGGGTTTGAGGAATCCATTTCTTAAATATGTTTCTCCATAACAGCTCATTATTAGCCATTAAGTACTAGATATAGTGACATTTGAATTATCTGTAGGACAGGTTACAAAAAGACGTCCACGATCTCTCCATCGTGATGCTGGTCCTGAAGGCCACCAGTATGTACATGTTTCGTTATACTGAGTACTGAAAGTAAGATTGGCTATGATACAGGCAGAATTGGCTTTGCATCGGACATCATCCTGTTGTCTTGTCTTGGTTGCATTTTTCCATTGCCACCTAAGCGGTGTCTCTCGTGGACCTTCCAGTGGCCATCCTGGTGTGAAAGCCTTTCCCAAATGGACCATGATGATACACAGGCAAATCCATCTTAGCAGGATCTAAAAGATAGAATCTTAAGACTTCTAGTTATTCTCGCAGATAACATTTAGTCGCAGGAACATATTCCCATTTTTCCTGTCCAGGTTTCATGATTAAAACAGTATTGTCTTTTCCTGTGGCTATTACTTCAGCTGGTTCAGGAGGTCCGCTTGAACTCTGGACCCATACTTTAGCTCCGTTATTGAAATTAGTTGATCCAAACCCTTTATCTCCATGAACACTGGTGACTTGAGGTGGATCCCCTTTTTTTCACAATTGCTTTCAAAACTGGCAATATCAATAATTGTGCGAGTTTTGGGTAATACTTCCCGATGCCCACAATGCCACTGAATTCCTAGGAATTTTACCGTTTGGGATGGTTCTTGAATCTTGTTAGGATTAATTTCCCAACCTTTCTGTCTCATATGATCTACCACCTGTTCAAGTATTTGTTGTACTTCCTTCTCATCATTTCCCTGAATTAGGATATCATCAAAGTAATGCACTATTTGCATATGAGGAGGCAATTTTATCTTATCCAGATGCTCAGCCACTGTCCGATGGCAAATGGTTGGACTATGCAGCCATCCCTGAGGCAATCTGGTAAAGGTATACTGTCTTCCTTGCCAGGTGAAGGCAAATTGGTCCCAATGCTCCTCTGCAATTGGGATAGTGAAAAAGGCGTTAGCTAAATCTATTACAGCATACCAAGTCCCTGAATGCTTTTGAACCTTTTCTATTAAAGTAATAGTATCTGGTACAGCTGCTGCAAGCGGTGGGGTGTGTTTATTTAATTCCCTAAAATCTACTGTCATTCTCCATGACCCATCACTTTTCTTGACAGGCCATACCGGATTGTTCCAAGCTGTGGTAACTGGTTTCGACACTCCTGCATCTAATAAATCTTTAATTGTCTGTGATATCTCCTCATGCCCTCCTGGAATTCTATATTGTTTCATAGTCACTAATTCAGTAGCAGCAGGAATCTGTATAGGAGGCATTTTTACTTTTCCTACTAAAATTGTTCTAATACTGATATGATTTTTCACCCCAAACTGGTACTGACCGTCTGGGAGATTCAAAGTTAGTCCCTTCAGAATGTCTATTCCGATTATGTATTCAGGAATGGGGACAATCATGACTGAATACAGTCGTTTTGGGAGGTTTCCTATTTTCTTTTCGATTTGAGTTTGTACAGCTTCAATTTGTTTCCCTCCCAGACCTGTAATGATTACAGGTTGTCCTTTAAATTTCTTTGGATTACCATATATCAAGGAGGCCTCCGCTCCTGTGTCAATTAAGGCTTTTACTGTTTGTGAGGACCGGTTTTTCCAAAATATTTGGAGCTCCGCATGGGGCCGTTGGTCCTTCCGTGCCCATTGCACTGGAGCTCGGCCATAATTTCATTCCTGTTTACTACGCTGGACAATTTCCCTAGTCTCCTTCCAGGGGTATAAATCAGAATACAGCTCCCAATCCCCCCTTTCCCCGGAACAACTGATCTGCCCACGGAGGGCCCACCGTGTGCAGATAGGAAGTCCCGTTGAGGCTCAGGAGGAGGTGCTGTAGGCTGAGTTACCCCTGGCTTCTTAGTTTCAGAACTCTGCACTCTCCTGCTAGGCTTATTCAGCCCTCTTTGTTTGTATATTTGCCACAGCTCGTTAGTTGGAACACCATCAATCTTTTCATGAGATAGGCCATCCTTCAGTAAAGCTGTAAACATTTCTTTGCGAGAGACTCTGTTCTCATTTCCTTTAGGGCTGTCCCGAGTATCTCGGTTTCCTGCGCCTCCTCGGGGGCCCCATTCTCCAAGATCACCTAGTTGCTGTATTTTTTCAATTATTTCATCAATGGGATTTCCGGTCTCATTAATTAAGAGAGTCATTATTACATTTTTATATGCTGGTGGGGCAGTTTTAATCAATCGGTTTCTATGAGTGACAGACAAGGCAGTTTGCATCATTCTGTCAGGGTCTCCTATAAAGACTGCCAATTTCATCCCTTCCTCCTTCATCCGCTGTATACAATCTCGCAAAGTATACCAGGGACGTTCCCCACCTGGCCAATCATTCTCTGTGGGGTATTTATTATTACATCCCCGGGCAGCCAAGGTTAACAAATTTGTATCCTGAGGATTATTTCGGAATGCATCTTGCACAAAGGAGTCAAAACTCAAAACTAAAAACTTCCTAGAGTCCTCTGGATCTAGGGTTACCCCTGCTGCTCCCTGATCGTGCAAACGCACCATCCAAGAGAGCAGGGGTTCCCCTGGTCTCTGCTTAAATCTTTCAATTATATCATTTATTTCATGCTGAGTATAATCTTCAATCACATCCTTCCTTACTTGTTGCCCGTTAGTATCCAATTCTATTTTCCATCTCCACACTGGTTTTACATCCACAGGTTCATCTGAGGAACCAGCCTCATCAGAACCTGTAGAATCCCAAATATCTCCATCCCATCTGTCAGGATCCCACTGTACCCCTGCTTCTGCAATCACAGCATGCACTTTCCTATGGTTTACGCGTCCCCTTCTTTTCTTATACTTATACTGTGCAACTCTTACTGCAGCTCTTTCAGCTACAGTCTGATAAGTATCCAACTTATCGGCAAGCAACTTGTTTTGACACTGTAACATTACAATTTGATTCTGCAAATCACACATCTGTCGCTCCATGTGGGAGCGCTCTAACAACAGTTTTTCTTTCTGTTGGTGCTGTTTCCGATATGCTGTTAACAAAACCCATCCCCGTCTTCCCGAACACACAATTTCTTTTCCTTTTTCAATAGATAATTTTTGGATACATTTTAATACATCCAGTGGTTCAGCTTCTTTTATCCGACTTTCCCACTGTTCACATGGTCCTCCGACCTTAGCCCACTCAAGAGCCAGTGAACTATAAGGAAGGTCTTCCCATCCAGGAATTTCAGATGGAGCTGATTCATTACGTTTAGATTTAAAAAATGACATTTTGTTCTGATCCTGTCCGTGACGCCAAATTTGTTTTGCCAATTGACGGGGTTAACACAAAGGACACAGACACCAAGCTAAAGAAATAGGCTTATTTTACTTTAGTAGAAATAGAAATTTTACTATAGTAGAAATAGCAGAAAGAATAAGCAAGGTAATGCACCTAGACATTACTATTTAAAGCTAGCTATAGTGATTAAGAAAGATACATCACCAATTGCCCTCATACTTTACCATCATCCAGACCCGTGCATCAGCTGGGGAGCCCCGTCACAGCGAAGGGTCGCAGAGCCTTTCCCGGCAATTGGGAAGTCCTACGCAGTGCGTCCACTCGTAGGTGAGGTCTCCGTCTTTGCTGTGAGAGGGTCCAGCTTTTATACAGTTTAACAAACAAGTCTAAACAAAACGCACAGGAGATATCTGGTAGATTGATATGCCTCACTCAGGCATGTCCGGATCTGGCCAGGATCCGGGCATGTCTGAGGAGTTTCTGTTTTTCTTTACATTTGGGATTTATAGTTACTTCCTATTGTTTAATTATAGTTCCCAAGGATTGTTCCCAGGGTTACATTTTCATGATGATAAGATACTGGTTGCTTCAGTCTGCTGATAAGATGCTGATTGCTGGTCGGGGAATTCACTCAGAAGTCAACTTTGGTTTGAGGCCTATTGTTTGGGCCCCTTTTTGTTTCAATATGCCAGATTAAGATGACAGTAGCATATTAAACTTGAACTGGGAATCAACAGACAAATGTATTTCATCTCATGCCTTGTCCCAATTACTTTAAAATAGGTATGGCTGAATCAGTGGCTTGGATTACACAAATTGGAGATCTTGAAGATAATCTGAGAGCTTTTCCCATAGATATGTGGTGGTCTTTCCTAACAGGTTGGCTACACATTTGCCTGTATAGTATTTATATGAACATTTTAGCAGTGTAATATATTGTTTAAAAGTCTTGTCCTGTACAGTATAAGTATTATCTAAAAGTATTTTTTTAAAAATCCTGTATGAAATGCCTGTGCTATTCCAGGTGTCTTTTAGGTCCTAAATATACACTTGATTTCCATGTCTGTTTTAAATCCTTTTTTGGGGATGCCTTAGTATACTATCTCTTACTACTTTTTCCTGTTCAGCCACAATCATTGTCTTAACCACAGAGGCACAGGAGTGTTGCATTTCTCAGGCAAGACTGGAAAGCTTTTGGTGGGGGGAAATAGAATGTACAGCGACTTACATGATGTTTTTGAGTTAGCTATGTAAATTTTCATGTAAGTATTTGAACATTTGCACTGGCTTGGAAATTAAGTGTTGCTTTTGTAGCTTTTCCAGTTTCATGTTTTAATTCTTGAGCAGCATGTACACCATTCTCCCATTAGACTGGCTATTTAATAAGCTGTTCCCTCTTGCATTGCGTGTGCAGTCTATGCCAGAAACACTAGTTGTAGGTTTTACAGCTGTTGGTTAGCTGGTATAAACATCATAGCTTGGTCTTCATTACCAACTTTGTAAGACTGTTGGTGTAAATGATTAAACTTTACAAGATAGGAACTCATTGGTGTTGGTATAGCATTTTCTTGTTTGAAGAAAAACCTCCTTTGGCAGATTCTGGGACTTTCATGTGCTTTGGAGAAATTTAGCTGAAAGCTATACTCCAGTAGTTTGTAACAGCATGTCAGATATTCCCACATCCTTGCAGCTGTTCTTTGTGCTTAGGTGAACCCACACTAAGTAGCTTAAATTCCATGGATCATGTTTCCTTAGTGTCAGCATACATTAAGAGCAAAGAGTCTATGGACACTTTTGCGTGTGTGAAACATGCACATCTGAAAAACTTAAGAGATGTGGTGCTTTCCTTCCTAACACTGCAGACCCCTCTATTCTTTCCTGTGGACCAGCTACTGGCTGGAACTCAGCACAGCAGCCCTATAATTACACTTAAAATTTCATTGCAGTTTTATTACTTGGCTTTTGAGTCTAAAAAAAAAATCTGTAAATGAAAAGCAGCAAGTACTATTGCCCCTGCTGTTTGATGTTGCTGGGAAACAGACACTGCTCTCTGATGTCACAGCAGCACAGCACGGGTGTCCTAGCAATGTCTAAGAATTCTCCCTTGGGACACTCAGTCAGTTGGTCACTGTCTTTCAGCTGGCTGTCTGGCAGGGTAGTCTAGCTGCTGGGGTTCAGCTGAAAAATATACTCGAACTGAGAAAAAAGAATTTAAAATGGAGCTTTCCTCATTGGAAACTTCATGTGATTCTGTTCCGGACAAGGAATTTGATTCGTCAGGCTTAACTGCTTCTGTCCATCCAGCGTGTGACAAAAGAGCAGCCAGTGATGCTGCCTCTGGCCCTCCAAGTGAAGAAGGGTCTTCACAAACTTTGACTCCGCAACCCTGCTCAAAAAGAGAGTGTCTGAACTCATCGGAGGAGAGCTCTAGCAAAGGCGATGTCTCTGCATGCTTCAGCTTTCTGAAGAAGCTCTGGGATGTTGTTGAAAGCGATCGGTTTGAGTCCATTTGGTGGGGTGACAACGGGCAGTGTGTTGTGATTCATGAAGAATTGTTTGAAGAGGAAGTACTAGCAAGGAGAGGACATCTGAGAATTTTTGGAAGTGAGAACATGAGAAGCTTCACTGATTGCCTCCAGCTGCATGGATTCACCAGAAAGCTGGGGGATTTTCCAAAATTGGGCTTGCACAGTGACTTGACAGCGGAAGAGGCAGCTAGGGAGGTATGTTGGATCCTCTATGTGCAAACTAACTCTCAGAATATTCTAGTGGGACAGGTTGCTGTTCCAATTAAGTAAGCCTTTACTACCTAGGAGATGAGAATGGTAGCAAATGTTCTGATGGTCACTTGTTTCTCAGCTTGTGTCCAGGAGTTTTTGAGGTAGCGCTTCTGAGTAGTAGAAATGCTGATAAAATACGTGCTGGTTCTTTCCAATTGCTTTGAACACATACAATGAAAACACAGTCCCTTCCTATCAGGACTTTTTTTTTTTTTTTTTTGATATTTGCTATGTCTTGCTGTACCAGATGTGCAGTTTGTTGGGTTTTTTTGCTGAAGGCCAAGAAGGTATGTGTCAGCATCATATGATTACCTACCTGTTCATTCCACACTGAAGTTACTGAAAAATAATGGTATTTGGGTTTCTAAATCCATTTGTATGCTTTTGAAAATCCTACACATCTCTGCTACCAAGCCGCAGAAACACAAAGCTGGTTACTACTTAGCAGGATTGTATAGCACTATTTTATTCTTTGAGTCTGAACTTCAGGTTTAGACCACCCCTGATAGTCTCTTTTTAACAGCCACATTTCTCTTTTGCAGTTCAAATTCTTAGCTCTAGTATCTTTGTGTTTTCCAGTCTCAAGGTGGTGGCAACTCTTTTCCTTTGCGTTTTTCAGTTTCACTTCTACTACAACCCAAATTTTAGAAGATACTTTCCATATTCGCTAAGGGAGTATAAGCAACGCTTTGACCCAAACAGTCAAACAGCGGCAGGAGTTTCACCAGACACAGATTATTTGCATGCACGCTGCCGGAAGAGAAAACCAGATGTTGAGGTTGTGTGGGAAACCACTTCCGAGGAGGAGAGCGGTCCGTTGGCAGCAGCTCCGAGGGAGAACACGTGCACCCCTGCGCCCAGGAAGACGGCACGCGCCAAGGGCCGCGCCAAGGGCCGCGCCAAGGCAGCTGCCCGCGCCAAGGCAGCTGCCCGAGCCAGACGTGCCTCTACATCTGCCCACACCTCTGCCCTGGCCCAGGCCGACCCTGCGGAGCAGTAGGCAGGGAGCAACTCCATCCTCTGGCCCCAGCACAGCAGCCCCGGCCCGGCCGGCACGCCGGGGGCTGCTGCCGCCTCACCAGGCCCCGCCGTGCCGGCCAGGCCCAACAGCCACTTTCCGCCAGGGCCGGCACCTCCCGCCTCTCCAGCCGTGCTGGCGGCAGCCCCTGCCCTGTCCAGGCCGAGGCCACCTCTGGGCCAACCCCCCCCCCACCCCTGCTGCCCCCCTGCACGTGTGGTCCCAACAGCGGCCCTGCAGGCAATGGGCTCGCCCTGGGACACGTTCCTAGGGAATAGAGTCTCTCTTATGTGTTCCAATAAACTGTTTCAATAAAAGCCTATGCCCGTTGTCCTGTCCTGTTTTTACAGCTGTGCCTATGCCTGGTCTTGGGCCTTACTCCACAAAGTTGAAAATATTTTAATTGTGAAGCAGGATGTGAATTACAAAAAACACTTGAAGTACCCAAATTAATGACTTATTTGTCACTCTTCACACTTGTCTTTGAAAATCTAATACTGAATTAAAAATTACTAATACTTTTCATCTTAAAAGAGAAATGTTAGAGTACTTCCTTTAATTTTGTACAAGCACCTTTTTTCTTGTAAAGGCCTTCCTACACAGGCTCTCAAGTCAGAGCTGCAGCCTGCTCCGCCCATCAGAGGCGCATGTACTATACCTGGGCTGTAAATGAGGTAAAGCTCCCAGAAAGGACTAGATTTTTATTTACAGACACAGGCTCTGTGGAAAAACCTCATCCAGCCAATCTTAGCTAATTTCTTGCTCAGTAATCCCACAACCGTAAGGAGAGGAGTAGGCTGTGAGACAAATGTTTTCTTGATGATGGCAGCCGGCTTTCAAGCACCATTTTGCTGAAAGGTCCTCCAAACTCCTCCTCCTTCATATAATGGGAAATGCACACAGATAGTATCGTATTTAGACACGTTTTAAATTGGCACACAATGCATCAACCATGTATTTAAAATAAGGGCATTTATAGTTATGTGTATGGGGAGAATGTAGTAAACCAATTAATAATTTCCAGTAATGGTCACAAAAATTGCTCTTCCGAGGCAAAATAAACAAGATGTAGTTTTTCAAATGTATTGGCTCTTTCAAATGGTTAGCTCTGGAAGGGAATCCAACTCACTGGTATTCAAGATGCTGACTTGTGAATTATAAGTTTGCATTTAGGTAGGAAAAAGAATAGCGAGGGGCAACACCTACGCTTCCGAAGGGATCAGTTCTTCAGGGATGTCCACCTGCCACACACCTCTTCTCCCTCTGGCGGGAATCGGTTCCAGGAGCCACCTTGGATTTGAAACAAGAGTCAAGTATTTCTGTTCTAGATTACTGAGGACAGCTCTGTTCTCCAGCTCCAGAATCTTTTCAGGAGGCAAGTTTTCTGGATATAGTGATGTCTCTCCAATGTCAATCAATCCTGCGTTATAAAATCAAAATATAAAATTAGATAGCTGTTTGATCTCCCAGAGAAAAGTTTTCCAAAAGTCAGCCTCCCAGAAGACATACAAGAGAGCTAATTTGTTACCAGAAGAGCACAGTATGAAGCCTGCACACTTCAAACCAGTGTCATTCACTGCAGAAGACAGCCTCTGTGACTGAACTGAGGTTGGTGAAGAACAGGTCAAGCATGCAGTTACAATACTGACAACTCAGTGATCTAGGATTCTGCTAAAAGAAGCCTGCATCTACGGAAATGCAGGTGCTACCAAAACTCCTGAGCTACACTTGGCCTTGAAACAGCTTCATTAAAAATAAAATTCTCTGTTCCTATCAGTACGCTATTGCATTAACATTTTAAAATCATTAAACTATATGAAAATTCCTGATGTCATAAAAGGGAATTTCTATATTGCTTAAAGAATAGAAACATTAAAAAAAAAACCTCAGAGCAGCTTTGATACTTACACCACAATTTAGTGTGCAATTTATGCCAAGGTTACAAGTCTGCATATTACGTAGTACCTAACAATTTTCCATTGGAACAGAAAAATTATTTCAGTATACGTGACAGAAATAATTTGTTGTGTAGGAATAGCTAAAGGTATTCAAATGAGAATGCAAAACAGATGCCATAACAAAAGATACCTACAAGAACGCAAAATGAGTGCTGGATAAAAACTTTGTAAGTATACAGTGCATCAACATCCATTGTATTTCACCATAATATAAGCAAAGGAACACCACTCCATCCTAGCATAGAACCAAGCTACTTCACTGCCCAAGTAACAACAGCAATGGGACATTTGTAGAATAGAAACAGGATTTATTTACGTAATATTCTAATATGATATGCAAAGCACTGCAACGTCATGACTTCGTTTGATGAGTATTGTAAAATGTTTTCAGCAAGAGTTCCTAAGCTCATAATGCAGTAAGTGTGGAATTGACATTTATTATCAGGAAATAAAATAATATGCAACCAATGTTATGCTATCTTAATGTCTGATGAGTTAGCACGAATCAATTTTATTTCTTGTAGAGACTTTCAGGTTGCAGTCTGAAGAGTTTAGCGAAGTGAGTGTATTTTAAAAACTGAAACCTGACTAAAATTCAATATTCTAAAGGTCAAAGATACTTCAAATTTCCAACACAATAAAAAAGAATAAATTTTATTTACATCTTTCCTCATGGGCCTCAGTTTACAGTGATAAGGAATCGAAATAGCCGCCCCAGTCACAACTCAGGCACCACCAATTCTCTAAAGTAAGCGTTAAAGCAATGTGATAACAAGCATAACCATGTAAAGCACGTGTATTAGACTGAACGTCAATGGATTGAAAACTTGTTTGGAAAATATAATCCAAGGTTCCTTACCTGCAATAACTCCTCTGCCAAATTTTTCCCCTTTATCCAACAAACCTTGCACTTCTTCTCGTGTCATACCAAACCTATCCAAAAGAATTGCTTTCCATGTTTCATCTTCCCAGTCCTTAATAGCTATATGAATAGCAATAGTACAGTTCTTGTACTTTGCTAGCAAAGGACGCCAGCGGGTCTCTACTGTCTTGACTTTGTTTAAAATTAATCCTGCATAGGGCTGTCGGAAGGAAAGGCAACCAAATTTCATCGTCTTCCTCGCATCAGAAGCCGTTTATTTCCTACAAGCAAAGAGACACCCTCAGATTAGTCTTCAGAAACGTGTCCCTGGCCACGACGAACTCGTCCGTCTGCCGGAGCAGCTGCCCGCAACACCGGGACGCCGCGCTAACGGGAGCTGCGCGCCTCCTCCCCGCGGGGGCGGACTTTCCGGGGGCCCCGCGGTGCAAACGCCGCCCGCCCGCCCGCCGCGCCCCGCGCACAGGCCCCTCCGGGCAACAGCGGCCTCAGCGCCCCGGGGGCGGCCGCTGCACCGGCGGGCCGGCCCCCCCGCCACCGGAGAGCGCTGCCCCCACGGGGCGGGGGGGAAGCGCTTTGGTTAGCGGGGCCGCGCGGCGCGGCCCGGCCCGGCCCGGCCCGGCCCCGCAGGCCGCGCTCGGGAGCCGGAAGCGGTTTCGCAGCCCGCTCCTCAGCGGGCGGCCCGGGGCCGGAGGGACGCAACCGTCCCGTGCCCCGGCGCGGAGGCCCCGGAGCCGCCTCCTACCTGGCGCCGCCAGCTCCACGCCCTCCCCGCGGTTCGCGTTTTGAACTGAAGGTTTATATCCCCTTCATTGTAAATAAGCTCTATAAAATACCTTGTATCCTATCACAAAACCACAGCTCAACATACAGCTGGGCTCTTAAATAAGAGATTTTTTTTTCTATTTCAAAGTTTAATATGCATTCTTAATTTCTCATAGTTAGGTGAGCTAGGCCAAGTTTTAAGAATTTTGTTCATTTAATATTGCTCTCTTCTCAGTACCTATGTTTCTTAGTCTTTCTCAGCTTTCCCCTAGGTGGCACCATGACCCACAGAACAGCTCCGGTAGGACTTCAGAGCAAGGAATTTACAACTCCAGATGTGTCTGAGTGATGCAAACACTTTCAAACACTAGTTGGTTGTCCTTCTTTTAATCCCTTGTACTGTTTCTTGGAGACAACATTTTTTCCATACTAGGTCAGAAGTAGTAGTGGTTAGAATACAGACAACAAATTATTTTAGTGGTATGAACTTTTTTTACTTGAAAAATCAGCTTGGAAGAATCTTATGCAGATAATCTTATTCCTTTGCATTAAAGGGAGGGAGGACACTGACACTGTGCAATGTCATAGACTATGGCACACTTGTGCTTGTTTGGGTAACAAAGAACTATTGTTGTCTGTATGGAGCTTCATGTTACTACCTGCTTTATTTAGATCTAACTTGGTTTCCTACTCCCAGCTCCAATCCTACTCCTGCTTTACTGCCAGTATTAGCAATACTTCTGCACCTCATGCATTGTTTCTTTAACTCCTAAGTACAAATACCTGTGGGGTAAATGAAAGTCCTGCTTCTCAAGCATGCTAAAATTAAGCAAAAAAAAATAATCTGATGGTCTGAAAAGCCACATAATTAACTTTTATGGGAGGACTACACTGTATGATCGTTAGATATGTGTTTTGTCTTCATACTCAATGTCAAGAAAGTATACCAGTTCTTTTTTGGAATAGAGGGCAATAGAGATTTAATGATGAGGTAAAAAGAGAAAAGCTAGTCTTGGCCCATAGTTTTGTTACAGGTGGAAGAAGTCTTATGTCTTCTGAGATATCTGACAGCAAAGTTGGAGCAGATGTCTTGAATAAAGAGGAGTTGTGGATCTTACAGTTAGTGTTTTGTTGACAGTAGAGTTGAAAGGCAATGGGATATCTTCTGCATAGTCTTACAGGTTATTTGAGAATTTTCACATAATAGAAAGGGTGATGAGATTATTATTGTTTCTGTTTGTGATGGTGTCTAGTGAAAAGTTGATGAGAAGTCTTTGCAGTCTTCTATTTGGAGCATTATTTTGTTTTAAAATGATTTTTAGAATAAATGTGGTTATCATAGGGAGATCAGAACTGTCCCCCAGAACGCTTGTCTTAGACTTATTACAGCCTAATTGAACATAGAAGAAGGTTCATCATGCAGACAAATTATTTTTGCCATATAAAAATATGACCCAGAAATGACAATAAGCAACAAATAATGATATAATTATGACTTGTACTGCTCCTAAGTCTGTAATTGTTTATTTTAATATCTGCACAGTTGTAACTGTCATCTATGTGCTATCAGTTACAGGTATGAAGTGTCTGACCTGATCCCCTGGAGTCTGTTTGACGTCTTGGTCATTTACTTCAGACGTTCCTGTTCTGAACTAAAATACCAATATAAATGCAACCTACATTTACTGTATCTGAGAGTATCAAACTGATGATGTCCCATAAGCAGTGTGTAGTTTAAGGTCTATTCACACATGTGCACACATGGTTTTGGCATTTTTAATAGGTCCTCATTGTCTAGTTACACTTTTGAAAAAGCAACAGTTCAGCTTTACAACAGTGAAATAGTGTTGTCTCTTTGTTGTACCTAGACTCATTTTGTCAGAGACAGAGAGAGAATGCTTGTTTAGTAGCAAATTCTAGTTCCTTTTCTAAGACCGTATTGCTTTACTGCTCATCTAAGGGGCTTTTTCAAATACATCTGATTTATATGATTGCTTAGCAATGCAAAGTCATACCAAGTTACTTTCTTCTATTTTAATACAGCATTGATTGTGTGAGTTGAAATTCATATCTGGAAAGACAGTGTTCTTCTGGAGCTAAATTTTGTCACTTGGTTCTATGGATCAGTATTCTTTTGATCAGAACTGCATTATTATGGGACATCATTTCTTTCCAAATATTTATTGTAGTTCCAGTTCATGGATTTGGAAGAAGTTGTAAAAGCAGAGTATAGCCTTGTAGATTGACCAGTCTGGTACAAATATTCTATGTATAGTATTTTTCCAATGGACTGCCAATTTTTGTCTAGTTGCTGGTCAGATATTAATGACAGAAGTAACAGAATGCAAGATAAGCGTATATTATTTGTAAAGAAAGAGGAAGTTAGGGCTGTGTGGCAGAAATTATGTATCTGGAATGGTCTGGTCAATGTGGTCTTTTCTAATAGAGAATTCAAGTATTGGTGTGAAGTTGAGGGTGTCCAGAACCCCAGCACCTGTAGTGCCCTGTGATGTTAGTTCATAGGGTTTCTATGAAATGTGAACTCAAGTGCTGCAGTAGTAGTAAGTTCAGTATCCCTGCTTCCTTTATTTAATTTCTTATTTTTTTCATTTTGTTATATTATCCTGTCATTTCTTAAAGTTCATGTTTCTTTTGAGTGCTAGGTTTTGGGGTTTTTTTTCAACCAAAGTTTATTAAGTTTGATATTTTATAGGAATAAGTTCATGTTTATACTCACACTTAAACTTTGTGGTTAATCTATGCATGTTTCCTTTTCAATGCTATATGAATAGTGGGTTTTGCTATAATTTTTTGTTTTAGCACCTTGTTTGGGGAGTTTTGCTAATAGTTTGTATTTCTACCTTTATATAACAATCAACATTTTGCAGTATAGTTCCCTTAAATGTTTTGATTCTTTTTGCAAACATTAGTTAGAAGGAAGGCCAACGTTTTAGAACATGGTTACATAAGTTTAGCCTGTGAAAGTCTGAACATTTTTAATTTATAAGTTAACTGCTGAGAATGCAGACAGAAGTTTCTGAAATGAGTCAGTTATACCTAGAATTCAGAATCAGCAAGTCTCTTGCTACAAGTCTCACTAGAATGAGGTGTTACCCCCTCTGGAAGGTGTCTTTTCTCCACTTTCTTGTTAGGCATCTGCATACATGAGGAATGGATCTATATAACTAAATAAGTAATAATAATCCTCTGTGGCATTTAAACATCTGGCATACTTGAGTTTAAAGTGTTCACAGAAATTACCAGAGTTAAAACTAAATGCAGTTAAATCTGTGCACAGCCTGAAAATAGCAGTGCTAGATATAAATATTTAAACCTACTTGAAGTCTGATATATCAATTTTGGCAGCATCGAAGACAGTATAGCCTCCAGTGTTATTAGTGCCTGTGAAAATGGCACAGGGCAAATGCAATGTAACAAAGTTTTGCAGCTTTAGAGACCCACATGTAAATTATTTCTATGCCCAGTACTTAACATCTAAAGCCAAAACAGTTTTTAACCTCAGGAGCTATGCAATTATGTTGATGTGAAGGAACAGGACTGTTAAGCCACTACACTATTTACTTGTATATCATCTATTATGTATTCTATTGCTGTTTAAAATGCTTGTACCATACATCACAAGCTGCCAGAAACTTTGTTACATATACTATATGTTCTGCTTAAAGAGACTGAAATATCCTTAGTAACTCGCATGCTGTAGTTGTTTTGTTAAATGTCTACTTCCATTTTAGTAAGGTAATATTTACTTTGGTTAATTTTTTTTTTTTGCTTGTAATCTCCAGTTACCACAGACAGGTAGTAATTTCCAATGCAGCTTCAGGAACAAGAGAATAAACAAATAGCTGCTAAATATTGGTGTGTTTTCACACAGTGGGTGCTTTTTCACTCCAAGCTGTAATTCTGTAACACCGCAATTTTTAGCCAGTCTATAAGAACAACAAACTATTGATTCACTAGTATACTTTTTAATTGTACTACTTATGAATGTAGCTATATGTTTTAAAACATTATTCTTTGCAAGGAAATTTATTAATAAGTAATCTTTAGCTTGTTAAAAATGAATGCTTTTGCATTTTTTTTTGAAAATCGGTGGGAAAATTTTTTACTTCACCATTGTAGGATTGTATATGTTTATTTTTCTTTACTCTAGGATGATTCTTCAGTTCTTCATCTGAGTCTTAACACCTTTATTAAAATATATCTTGCTTTCTAGTAGTTTTTCAACATTTACTATGGTTGTGTTTGAAATTGATAGAGTTAGAAATGCTAACAGCTGAATCGGATGTAGCTTATTGACATAATTAAGTGGCTACACTTATATCTACTGGTGTGTGAAGTCAAGAGAACCTGAAGCTCAAGATCAAAGGGTGATCTGCCTGGTAAATATGCAGCATATAGGAAGCTAGCCTTACAAAGCAATTTTGTGTTGGCATTTTCAAAATTATCTGCGTAGAGGAACCACTGAAATATAGCTTTATATTCACTAGGACTAGACTTTATCAGTCTAGACTTAATTATGTAAAGTGTTATTAGAACTCAGTGGTATATTACTTATAAACTGATTGATCCATAATGATAAATTTATTTGGCATGCAGAGAGTCTGTTTGGTATGAATTTTGATCTAGTCGATACTGTTTGGAGCTTCTACATCACAGTAAATGAGGTAAAATGGAGTACAGTGTTTGTGGCCTGAACAAGCTGTGCAGACTTCCTTAATGAATTTTAGTTACCACTTTCTTCTGCAGTATCAAAAGTGTCCCTGCTCAAGTTCTGATACGCTCCTGAAA